TGCCCGTCAGTCCAAGAGGCTGCATTGATGAGGTGATGAGTATTCAGTGATGGGTCCTGGACGTTGGCCAACAGCAGAGTTTGAGCACTTGTGCTGTCGACAATCAGATTACACCCCCCCCCCCCCCCCCCCCCCCCCGCCCCACCAAGTGCCTTTGCTGTAATTCAGTGGCAAATTCTGTGACAGGAACTGCAGGGTGGAAAAGTCCCTTTCCTTTTTGATGCAACGATGCCTTACGTTTTCAAGATTTGGGAAAGGTAGAGAAGTTGCCTTTATTGTGCCTTTACCTGCCAGCTCCTAAGGCTGTGAGTCATGTGGCGCCGACTCCTTGCATTTGAATTTGCCATTTTCTAGCTTATTTTATTAAGCTCTTGGTGCCTCAGTTTTCTCTTGTGTTAAAATGGGTTGAAAAATTCTATCAACCATTCAGAGCTGCTGTGGGGATCCAATGAGTTGATATAAGTCCCAGCAAATGTTAACTATTGCCCTATCATTGGTCATCTGCTTTCTTTCAATATTACTCTGGTCAAATAGGTTGGATATCCTGGGAATAAAGTTAAGGCCTCTCCATTACCTCTGGATGTCGCATGGCCTGTACTATGCTACAGGTCCGTTTCTGGTTGTAGGGAACATTTCCAGTACTTATATGACCATGAAGCTTTTTTCCTGAAGCATCTTTCACAGCCTACTTTCCCAAGAACATACTATAGGACAAGCTGCCCTTGCAGGTGATACACAACATTTACAAAGCTTTGAAAGAAAACATGGGATTCAAGAATTTGATATGCAATCATATTTACATATAAAGGCAACAGGGATTAATTATGCAAATGAATGTTTTCTCTGAAAAAAAAGTTTCTCTGTTTATTAGACAACTCCCATCCCCAAGAATTAGTCAAAATTGAAACATGTGTGAAATGTGATTATTCAAATGTGAACAAAAAGAAAGGTCTGGGAATATTAATATCAGGCAATGTAGAATTATACAAGTCAATGAGTATTAAACTGGTAACTATTTCATTTCTTTATCCCCAGTCAAATGCACAAGGTAGATCCTAAGTAGTCACAGCAAGATTTACTGTGGAAGGGGACGCAATGGGTGAAAGGTATGTGGGAAGGGATGGCTTTGAATACTGGAGAGGATACCTACTTTATCTGCCTAAGTCACCTTCTTCTGGGACCTGCTTCCTCTTCCTTCCTCTATGCACCCAGGCTCCTTTCTCCCAGCTAGAGGATGGCTGGGGCCGTGGGATCCTGGGTGCAACGCAGTCGATGGGAGTTGACCTGCGTCAGGGAAACCACACTACCTTCCGCCTTGGCTTGCTTCATTAATTTAAGAGGAGACATCAGAATCTTCACTTTTGTCTTTTCAAACTCTGGAAAAGTGGGCTGGTTCCTCTTAGAGACAGTGAGATGGAGGTCTCGGTTGCTACTGGTTGCCATGTTCCCTGGCAAGAGGAAGAAACTCATCTACAATGAAGTTTTATATAAAAACATGCTGCTCTGGTGGCTTTTGGATTCTGGTACCATTGGAACCTCAAGACTAGCCATAGCCCTGCACTCCCCTGGAGCAGGTATGCACCTTTTCCTTGCGTGGCATGATCTATTCCTATAGCTTCCTAAGCATTTTCTTTTTCCTGCCTTTTTCTCTTTTACAGTTATAAACTGTATTAGTCAGAAACCCAGCTCTAGCTTGCAACCAAGAGTCCTGACTAATATAGTCACTTGTTAAAAAATTTAAATAACGGTACATACATCCTGACATATGATACTGTATTCCTCTATTAAATTGATAAATCAGGTTTCTTGGTTCCACATGCAAAGGGAGCATACAGTTTGGCTGAAAGCAAGCTGATCAACATGGTACTTTGATTTGAAAATAACATAATCAGTTAGTGATTTTTTAAAATTGCTTTTTTTTTTCTGTACTGCTAGGCAATTTTATCATGTCCTATGCCTGCTTTTTCTTCTATTGTTTTTAAAATTTGCTTTTTAAAATGTTAAATATTTGCTTTTAGAATATAAAGTCAATTATTTTTTGTCTAGGCTGCTTATAGTAGCAAAAAGTTGGAGTAATCTAAATATATAATAATAAAAGATTAATTAGGGCAAATTATACATCCCAAGTAGGGCAATAGTTGGAAACACAAATGTCCAAAGCTATGTTGTAAAAATGTACGTGACCAATAGGATTACTTTATACTTTTTTTCATGTTCATTTTTTTCTTATGAGAAAACCATCTACTAGAATATAAAAATATACAAGCAAACAAAAGAAAAATTTAATCCATACTTATCATCACACTCACCTTTTAAGACTTAAAAGACTTTAAAAAAATTTATTTTTATTGATTTCAGAGAGGAAGGGAGAGGGAGAGAGAGAGATAGAAACATCAATGATGAGAGAGAATCATTGATCGGCTGCCTCCTGCACATCCCCTACTGGGGATCGAGCCCACAACCCCAGGCATGTGCCCTTGACAGGAACCGAACCTGGGACCCTTCAGTCCACAGGCCAACGCTCTAGCCACAGAGCCAAACCAGCCAGGGCAAGACTTAAAAGACTTCTATAAACTTTTATAATCAATGTTACCACCTGGTTATACAGTCTTATAAACTTTTATAATTATATAGTCATATATACTTTGACATTTGTTCATTTAAAAAACCTTTTATTTCCTATAAAAATGGGACTACATCACATGTGCTTTTTAAAAAAACCTCAACTGTATGAGGTATAATTTACATATAATAATGTGCACTCATTTTAAGCATCATTTCATGAATTCTGACAAATTTTACAGCATTATAACCACCACCATGATAAAGATATAAAACATTTTCATCATTCAAAAAAAAAACTCCTTTGTGTTCTTTCCTGACTAGGCAAAGAACAGGCAATGATCTGCTTTCTGTTGCTATAGAGTAGGTATTTTTTCTTTAAAGTTTCATATTAATGGGATCATACAATATGAACGCTTTTGTTTCTGTCACTCAGTATTTTTGAGACTCATCCATGTCACTGTGCTTGTCAGTAGTTCATTGCTTTTTATTGCAGCGTTCCATTGTATGAACATGCCACACTGTGTTTATTCATTCCAGCACCATTTCTTGAAAAGACTCTTTTCCCTATTGAATTATCTCAGTACCTTTGGCAATAATCAATTGACTACATATGTGCAGATCTATTTTAGGGCTCTCTGTTAGCTGGGTCTATTTGTTTATCTTTACTTCCGTCTCACAGTCGGGAAAACTCCTGATACTGCGTTACACATTGAGAGGGAAACACACCTTACTGAGGTTGTTCATACCATCCGCCGGTTTCCCCGTGCCGTCGCTGGGGTGGCAACAGACTGGGGCAATTCATCCAGGCCTGTGGAAGGCTGCCTTCATCTCTCACAAGTTTATGATACTCTAAGTTTACAAATCAGCATCACACCCTTTGTCTCCATCATTCATATACTGATTCAGTGCCTCTCCTGCACTCTTTATTTCTCCTTTCTTCACAAACACCCTGTGGGGTGGGCTATTTAGACCTGATTATACCCATTTAACAGATAAGGAAATTTACACTTTAGGATTATCCCCATCAGGACACCTTCTCATAAATTGGAATTCTAGGCAAGTAACACAGAAAACCAAAGGCCAATCTGAGTTCATCATCATAGCAGACTGTTCTAAGTCTGCCTGATGACTTCTTGGGAGAGTGGCAGGCCAGAGAGGTCACACCTGTACTACACTAGTGCCCCTATAAAACCTCAACAGATACACACACACACCTTTTCTAGACTATATTTGTCTTAAATGACATCTGTGGCTGGCCTAGGATAGCGATTCCTGCAAGATATTTTAGCATTTGCTTGTGGTCATATTTCTGGGTAACAAGGCCAGGTCACCCTTACTGTGAGCCCCACCCAACCCCCAGTCCTCTTGTTAAGGATAGAGAGCTAGAGCATGACTGTATTTTCTGGCTTAGATTCTTTCAAATACTCAAAATCTTTTTGAGTTAAGTTTGAGTTTCTGCTTCATGCAAGTAAATGATGCTGGTAACTCTACTAGGACTTTCAAAGACCCAATGTCTGCTACGGGGAGGGCAGGCAATGATTGGCCTCATGCAGTGATTCTCAAGGGGCTGGAATAGAGCAGTGGGTGCGGGACATTTGATCTTTTAGGACCAGAGGATTAATTTGAACACAGAAGAGCATCTTGTCTCCTCACTTTGATATAACTCAGAATACTGTATTAATTTTTAATTTCACAAAGTATTAAAGGACATTTATGGTATTAAAGGGGTGCAGTGAGAGGTTCTGGTATGTGCAGTCCTGGATGGACCAGGTAACCATGGGCTGAATCCTGGCTCACTCGCTTTTCAGTTGTGTGCTCTTGGGCAAGATCACTTCCACTCTGGGAGGTGGGTGGAGGGTCAAGGTAAGCTCCATAGCAGTGGCATGAGGCAAGCCTTGAAGGGTAAAAAGCATTTGTGTCTCACACTTAGGAGCATCTTTCTTAATATGACACAAATATTAACAGAGCTGATGAACCAGTTGGCATTAGAAATAAACCTAAGCACTACATGCGTGACAACAATCCGTCTTCACTTCAACGTCCAGTTTACTCTTAGTTTCTGACTTCAGGCTTGGCTGTCATATCTACGTATGGATCACGGAAGCCAAAATTTAATATTGTACCATCTTTTCCTATGATAAACATCTTTTATTGACTTGTCTCAGTGTGCAAGAATATGTTTTGTACAGAACATACAGAGCATCCTTGCTCTGGGACCAGGCAAAGTTATGGCTAACCAACATTTCCCAAGAGGACAGGGAACAGGTGCACTGATTCTGGGAAGTACAATGACCCTGTTCTCAGTATGTTATGAAGCCAAATTCTTCAACTTTGACGATGACACACAAACTGTCAAAAACAATTAAGGCACAATATGACTCAAAATTTATACTCAGAGCAGCAATAATCTAGAGAAAATATAATTAACACATGGAATCGTATCACATTTTAATTAACACTGATAAGACAGAATTATTATAGCATAAAAGATATTGGTTTATGAAACAGGAAGATGGCTCAGATTCAAAAATCAAATGTGTTAAAAAAACAACTCTTCAGCACTAGATTCTAGGTTTCTTTTACGGTTCCCAAACTGGATCTACATTCTATATAATATATTAATGAATGTAGCAAAAAGACCTTTAATATATCTGATCATACCAGCAGTTTGGTGACATACTGGTAGAGCTGTTCTGTAAATGCTTCAGAGGAAAACTTTTCCTTCACCCTGGCTCTGCCAGCCAGTCCCATTGTGACTTTTAAGGAAGGTTCATGGATGAACTTTTCTATTGCTTCTGAGAATTGCATGGGGTCAGGCTCACACAGAAACCCTGTGACACTGTGGACAATGGACTCCAAGGGCCCACCTGAATTAACAGCAACGACTGGGCACTGCATGTACATGGCCTCCACAGGGACAATGCCAAAGTGTTCATTGCTTGGTGTGTAAATCACACATGTGCAGCCGTGGAGGAGTGAGATTTTCTGTTTGTCCGAGAAAGACCGCAGGAAGGTCACAGACTGGTCAAGGTCAAACTGCTGGGCCATTTTCTTCAGTTCCTGATAGTGTTCCACGTTCTCCAGGACTCTCTCGTCATACCCACCAGCCATAATCAGATGAACCTTGTCCCAATCTTGGGATGTCAATCTTCCACGCAGTTTTACTAGGGCTTCCAGCGCCAAAGTCAGGTTTTTCTTCCTTTCGTACCTGTTGATGGAAAGGAACAGGAACTTTTTTCCCTCGGGGACTAGATCATCAAGCTTTTCAGGGACAGCTGAATCAAAGCTGGTAACGTTCAGAGATGGGTAGAGGACATCGGGGTCTCTGTGAGACAGGGACTTAAACGTTTTCTTAAATATGGCAGCTGTGAACTGACTGTTGACCAAGATGCAGTCAGCCATACCTGTGGTGTATTCTTCTACCCAGTCAATCGGGGCCCTGTATAGACGTTTAAGAAAAGAATCCCTCTTGGTAAGAAGCAGATCTGGGAAGTGACAATAAAACAAGATCTTCTTACGCCGTCTGGCCAGCTTGAACACGGGGATACAGGCAGACACCTAGCCAAAGCAAAGGTAAAAAACAGGTAAAGTAACTGGTCAACTAATCTTCAAGTAAATCAAAAGAACAGACACATGCTGCCTACTAGCCTGCGGGCTCCTCGTGGGCAATGTCTCATTCTGCTTTGTGTTGCTAGACTCTCACCCAGTCCAACACCTGGTGCGTTAAAGGCTGGTAGACATTCTCTGGGTGTGTGCTAAACATTTAAAGCTGCAAGCTGAGTCTTTGCTCTAGAATAAGCAGTCCAATGAAAATGAAAAGCTAATAACCACATTAAAATTTTTAATGGGTTAAATAAATGTTAATATATTTTATCTAAAATATCACCATTGAAAATGTAATCAATACTATAATAGTTAATGGGATACTTTACACTTTTCCCCCCACATTAAATCTTTAAAATCACGTGTGTATTTTACACTGACAGCACACCTCAGTTCAGACTAGCCACATTTCAAGGGCTCAATAGCCACCTGTGGCTAGTGGCTACCATACCGGACAGAGCAGCTCTAGTATATTTCACCTTCTAAGACACTGAATGAACTATAGGGGCTCAGAGTGCAGTCTCTGGAATCAAGATTGCCAGGGTTTGAATCTCAGTCCCACTAGCGAGGTGTGTGACCATGATCAAGTAATCTACCCCTCTCTGGGCCTCAGTTTCCTCTTCTGTAACATGGTGGCAATTATGGTTACCAAAAAAGCCCATCCATACTAATAATAGAGGAATATGCAAATTGGCGGGACACCATCACATAGCAACCAATCAGGACGGGGGCAGGGCTGCAGCGGAGAGCTTTCAGCATGCCTGCAGGGGGTCTAATAGTAGCTATGTAATAATCCTAATTATTACAAACTAGAGGCCCAGTGCACAAAGTTCATGCAAGAATAGGCCTTCCTTCCCCCGGCTGCCGGCACCGGCCCCCCTCTGGCACCCGGGACTGGGCTTCCCTCCGGCCGCTGGCAGGCACCTGGACCCAGCCGTGGCTTCGCTGGAAGGTCGTTTGGTCTAATTAGCATATTACACTTTTATTATTATAGAGAAGATTTACATATCTTAACAGACACACATATGGTGGTGTAGCCATAGACAATTTCGTAAGGACATAGGAGAAACTGTTTAACAGTGGCTATTTTTAGGGAGAGGAACTGGAATGGGAATTTAATTATATTATACTCTTTTATACTACTTGAGGTTTTATTGTTACTTTTTAAAATAAATATTTTTGGGGGGGCGAGGGGCATGAGTGGGAGGAAGACAAGGAGTTTAGAAAAGTTGGACTCCACATCCAGGTGGGCATTCTGTACCAAGTGAACGCATTTGTGCTTTTCTATGAAGACTAATGGAGAGCCCCGTTAAAGTTCTAACGGGGCGTGACATGTTCGGCGTGGAGTTTTGACATGACCTGGCTGCAAAGGCTAGGACAGGGTGATGCGCATAGCCTAGAAACAGTGTCAACAGAAATAAGGCAAAGAGTTACTCCAAAGTAAACAGTGACTGAAGCCTGACTCCTAATGCTTGTGTTTCTTAGAGCGAGCTGGCCCCCAGGCCCATCTGCTGCAGAATCACCGATGTGCCACTGAAAAATGCAGATTTCGGGGCCCCATCTCGGGGCTGCTGGATGAAGCTTCTCAGGGCGGGGCCCCGTCATGTGAAGTTCGAGAACTACAGTCACTCCCAGCTCTGATCTCCCCAGGTCAGGTGCAGTGTTTCGGAACCGCAGACCCGGAGAGGTCCAGAGGAGGGCAAAGGGGCGTGGCGAGGCCCGGCGTGGTCACCTCACCTGGTCGCACACGACCACGTCGAACACCTCGTCGCCGAGGAACAGCACGTAGAGCGCCAGGAAGATCATGCGCACGTAGGCACAGACCGCGGCGCCGCGGCCGCCCCAGCCCAGGCTGCGCGGCAGCCAGTCCCCCGCGCAGCGGACCGGCAGTTCGCGGCTCTCGGCGAAGCAGTGGCCAGGGTCGTAGTGCGCCGTCCAGATCGTCACCCTACATCCGCGCGCCTGCAGTGCCAGCGCCGCGTCCAGCACCAGCCGCTCGGCGCCGCCCACGCCCAGGTCTGGGTGCAGAAACAGCACGGACGGCTTGGGAGCCAACTCATCCCGAGCCCGCTCCTCTGCCATGGCCCGGGTGTCCCGCACCCTTCGGCACCGGCGCGCCTGCTCCTCCCGAGGGCACCCGGGGGCCTCAGCGGGGCTGACCACGCCCCGCGGCGCGCACGTAGGTTAGGCCACATCAGCGCACGTCTGTGGGTGCCTAGTGACCGCCGGAGGAAATTTCTCTTCTGGCCATGGCTATATCCGCCCTTTGGTACGAATTGGACTCTATGAAGGATGCTGTGATCTAAAGGAGGAAGACGGGAGATCTGTACATCCCACGCAGCAGCGGACCAAGTCGCCGGTAGCAACATTTCTACAGGCAGATAGAAGGACAGCCCTGGCGTCCTTGGAGTCCGAGGCCCTGCCAGCAGGTCTGGGGGCGGGACGGAACCAGTTTCTCCAGCCGCCGATCCAGTGAGGGCTCCGCTGCTTCCCTGCCGTCTGCTTCGGGCCCCTGCCACCTCCAGTTTCCAGAATGGTATGGTGACCCCAGCCGTCCCTCCTTAGCCCCCACCTCTCCCAGGCGCCCCGACTTCTGCCTTGCGCCTTGCCCTCCTTCCGCGGCTCCCCTGCTTCCCCACCCTCCAGTGCGGGTGCCGGTCGTGGCTGTCGGGGCCTGGGGTCTGGGGGCCGGCGGGCGGCGCTCACCCGTCTGTCTCCTTGTCGCCCTCCGCAGCCTGGCCCGACCCCCAGTGGCACCAACGTGGGCTCCTCAGGACGCTCCCCGAGTAAAGCGGTGGCCGCCCGGGCGGCGGGTAGCACGGTCCGGCAGAGGTAAGGATCCCGGTGACCCCCTTGGCTGTGGGGCGGGAGGAAGGGGGCCCAAGAACGCGCTGTTCCTGAGAAGGTCGCCCAGAATGTCACGGTTCACGAAGACAAGGTGAGCTTCAGGTGGGAGCAGCGGCCTTTGCGTCTTTGTGTCTAGAGAGGGAGTGACATTTTATTCTCACTGCACAGTTAAACAGGGGCAGAGACAACGTGGAGAAAACGGGTGTCATAGAACTGACTCTCTGGGCCTGAGCTTTGCACTCACATTTCCGTCAATTTAACAAGATTTGTCCAGCTCATTGTCCCCGATCATCCCAGCCCCCACCCCCCAGGCGCGTTGCTTAACTTACCGGGGTACATGTGGCTCTGCTCTACGCGCCTTCACCCAGAGCCAGAACTTCAGCGTCATCGTGGGTTTTTCCTTAGGCTCTGTCCCTGTCCAGTCATTTGTCGGACTTTAAATTATAGGCAAAAACCTGCTGCTCATCACTTCTTCGCGTCTCTCTTCCTACCGCCCCGATTTAGCCGTCAGCTTCTCGTCTAGACTCTTGCATTTTCTACTCTTCTACGCTCCAGGCCCTTCCTCTCCAGTCCCTTATGGGCTCTGGTTCTGTCACTCTTCTGCTTAGTTTCTCTGTTAGTTGCTTTTTGCTGAACTTTAAAAACAGGGTGAGGGGGGCGGATAGCGAGGTTCTTGGTGACTTTGTTTTTTTTTCCTGCCCATCAGCTTCCCTTCTCCCTGGCTCCTGGGATAGTCAACTTATTACTGTTTTCTGAACCTCCCTTCCTCTCCCCACACACAGCTTCTGTTTATTCTCCTCGGACTAAGCTCAGAGGTTTTTGGAGGCCCTCCCTGACTCCAAAAGTGGCAGTAGCTATTACTCCTCCCTTTTGCTCCCAGAGCATTTTGTTCAGTGAAGGAAGGAATCCAACAACCCTGTTGTCTTCAGGTATTCGAAGGAGCTAGTGGGGTTTTATGTAGAGAGGGAAACACCTCGAAGGGATACAAGAGAATGATTGATAAGGATGTGAAGAGTGACGCGATTTTTCTTGTGGGCTGTTGTAGGTACATGTAAAACTAATGATGTGAACTTAGCAGAGACGGATTTCAGCTCATTGAAAGTACTGATATCACTGTGATGTTTCTCTTGAAATTACCGTGTTTTCTTTGGGTTACAAAATCCGTATTATTAACTGGTTACGCATTAACTGTAATAATGAGGATTTTGTAATCAAAGCATGATAATTTCAAGAGAAACATAAAAAATGCTTTTTATTGAAAGTGATGTCCATCGCTAGCTACCCATTTCCCCCATCTTTCAGGTAATTTGTGGATACTGTCCCAATAGAACTTTTCTTGTTTTGAGGCAAACCATTCAGAGACCCAATTTTCCACTTCTTGGTACGTTTTGAAGTGCAGCTCAGAAAGTGCGTGTGCCATCGATCGGGACAAGTGGTAACTTAAAGGAGCAATACAACAAAATAGCATACATACCAAATCGCATATATATCAACATCTGTGTAACTCCGGCTATTGAAAAAATCCGCATTATTAACCGGTACACCTAGTAAAGCGATGGTAGGGATAAGGTTTTCACTACTGTTTTCTCCCTCTGTGGGAGATCATAAACAAGTTTTCCTTTTCAGAAATTTAGAATCAGTAGCCCACAGATCACGGGGTGGGATTTTACGGAAGGGTGTGCTGGGATTTGGTTAATGATAGGGGCAGTAATGGGGCAGGCTTCCCCCCTCTTCCTTCCTTCCCGAGGATTTCTTAGGAGTGGCTGAAGAAGATGTTTTCTGACTTCTCATGCTTCCTGCTTACGTTCGCTCTGTAGCACTCCAGCACGGGGAGAGGAGGAGTGGGGGAGCCGTGCTCGGTGGAAGGGCGGTTGTGGGTGGGCTTCCCGAGTGACTGAGGAGAGGAGGGAAAGGGTTTCCCCCCTGTTGGTGGCAGTGCTTGTGGCAGTGCTTGTGTCAGTGCGGTCCAGCGCCTTCTGTATGCGAGGACTGCCTCCATCACAGCTCATCTCACCAGCCTTGGTCTCCTGTGAAGGACAAGTTCTAGTTGGGTGTTTTCTCCATTTTTCATATCCTACCTCTGTCCAAGATTTATGGCATATCAGAATAGTGAAAACAGACTACAAAATGATGTTTTTGGTAAAATATATGTTCCATTTTGGGACCTGGATTATAATTACAGCTTAATATTTTTGTCTCTTTCATTGCAAATACAGTTATTTTAAAACATTTTAAGGTAATTTAAGTCAGATTACAGTTGACCCTTGAACAAAATGGATGTTAGGGACACTCCCCTTTCCCCTGCAGTCAAAAATCCACATATAATTTTGATCCCCCCGAAAACTTAACTAATAATAGCTTACTGCTGGCCGGAAGCCTTATCGATAACATAAACAGTTGATTGACACATATTTTGTATGTTGTTATGTTATATACTGTATTCTTACAATAAAGCAAGCTAGAAGAAAGAAAATATTATTTAAAAAATCATAAAGAAGAGAGAATACATTTATGGTATTGGGGGAAACCTCGTGTAAGTGGATCCACACAGTACAGTTTAAACCCATGTTGTTCAAAGGTTGATTGTATGTAAATTCCAGACATTTTAGAGCAGAGGTTTGTTACTTGGCTTCACAAAAATGCATGTGAAGAGAAACTGAAGTACATTGTCCCAACGAGGTGCCATATGGTTGGGCAAGAGGATGGGCTCTGGAGTCAGAACTGGGTCCTCAGCTCAGCTCGGCCACCTGCTGGCCGTGTGGTCTTAGGTAGGCACTTGGCTTACCCTTTTCTGAGCCTCATTTTCCTCTTATAAAACAGAACTGGTAACTGCTTTCCAGGGTTAGTGTGTGCATTAGCATGTGGCAGGTACTCAGTTCATGGTAGTTATCATGACCCGTGGGGTGAAAACAAGAATTAGGGGTATACTCACAAAAGAAAGTGGTTTTTTTCTTTCTTTCTTATTTTTGTTCTTTAACAATGTAATGGTAGCAGATGTTATAATGCCATTAAACGGGTTCCCCCCAAAAAAGACTGTTCGTAACATTTTTTCTCTTAACAGGAAAAATGCCAGCTGTGGAACAAGGAGTGCGGGCCGCACGACCTCAGCAGGCACTGGGGGGATGTGGCGGTTCTACACGGAAGACTCCCCTGGCCTCAAAGTGTAAGTCTTGGGAGCAGACCTTGTGTTCCTGTCAGGTGTCACAGGCTGATGGGCAGCACTGTCTCTCCGCCACCAGTGGTGCTGGCTTTGATGAATTTACAGTACACACAGCTCCGTTTGGGCCAGGTGGACCGGGTTTGGTTTGTCTGTATATCAACCAATTAGTTTAAGGCCTGGAATGATATCTCTTCATGGATTGCGTGAAAGCAAGGGGAAATCTTCAAGTAGCTAAGCCAGAATAAACAATGGAAACAGAGAAAACTGGAGGAAAAACTGCTTAGTTAGATGAAATTGTTCTTTTTTGGTTGTCCGACACTGAGAAAGAGGGGTAACCCATTGAATATGAGTTGGGTGGTTTTTCAGAGCTTTCCTGGAACCATAAGCTGATATTATTGCAGCTAATAGACGTTTCTGCATTAGGCTGTGTTAACGAAAGTTCTTTGGCCTTTTTGCCTTTTGTGAGTGGTGAGTAGACCTTGGGGTGAACATAGCACTTTCCAAGTTCTTAAGGCCTGAGAGTGCTCATTAGGTGATGGGAAATGGGCACCTGGGGGACCCCTGTTCCATGCCTTGCTCACCTCACTTTCCAGGGTTTCTGGTACTGTGTGGCAGACTTAATCCCACAGGTGTCTGATCACGTAGGCCCTAGGACACCACTGCTTACAGCTGCTTCCTGACTCAGCCAGTGGATGAGGAATAGGAGCACTGCAGGTTCAGAAGCTCAGGTTTCGAGAGGCAAAGTTATGTTCCAGCAAGAGCCAGAACCAGATAATCTAGAATGTTCAGTCCTGTGCTCCATATGTCTGTCTGGTAGAAAAGAGACAATCCATATGCCTGTCTGGAAGAAAAGAGACAAAATTAGATTTATTTGGATTAGTTTAACTTGACCAGTAGCTTGGCTTGGATCACAAATTTAAAGACTTGTATGGTAAGGTGAGAATGTATTCAGGAAGTACTTCTTGGGGTTGGGGATATATGAGTTGGCCATATTCAGACAACCTTTTGGTCTTTGTTAAAGGTAATTTTTCTGAGTATTTCAGAGAGGAATTTTAAAGCCCCTTGCTTTTTAGGGTATCCAGGAGACTCCTTGAAACCCTTATTAAGAAGGTGGTAAAAAAAAAAAAAAAAAAAAAAAGAAGAAGGTGGTAAA